GAAAGAGAGGAAAATACTTAAGTGTAGGCTGTGCAGAAACAGCTCCATAATTCGCACTTGCAGAAGAATAAGATTGACAAACAAAGTTTATGTATCAAAAAAAAAATGAGAATCGGCAGTAGATAACGACACAAGAGAAAAAAAAAGATGTGTGAAAAGCAACCGTAATAAAAACAAAGAGAACCAGTGATTGAATTAGAGACGGCTCTCCTTATTCACCTATCAATTTAGCGAAGTCTACAGCATGGGACCGAGAGCATTCTTTCCTCCACAAAAGACAACAAAAACACTGTGAAACCCAGTTAAATGACTTCCTTATTAGTTGCATTTATTCAGAGAAATTAAAAATTATCATGAAGTCACTTTACACGATTAAAAATTCGTTTTTGCTCGCGAGACGTGTCTCACGACGCTTCTTGCTTCTCGTCGCAGCATGGGCATATGTACATCCCATTCCTAAAGGCTGCATTACTTTTGAGATGCAGTTACAACACAGGGCGGGGACGCAGCTGCAGCAAACCGTGTTTGCAACGATAAAATCAGCTGCGGGGTCACAGCGTATGCACGTGCAGTCGAACGAGTATGTTGCTCTGAGCTTCCTCTTGCGCTCTACCGCAGGGAGCTTCAAGTCGATATAAGAAATGCACAACGGTTCCCCTTTCTCAATATTTCTTGCCGCAAAGAACTCAATGTTGCGAGACTTTCTGACATTTCTTCGCCCCATGTTCGGTGAACAGCTGTGATTAAAATAAGAGCTCTGAGGGTACAAGGCGACTCCGAGCTGGCGATTAACAGAATTCCATATCCCAAACCCGTTACACAAAAAAGCGGTGCAAATGGCCACAAATGTTTCGCAGCTGACGTCACAGGGCATCTTGTGTTCGTATGAGCGCGCCAGCTGCAAATATTTTTTGTGCTGCAGCGTTTCTACGTATATATAGTACAGTTCTGAAAAATCATCTACAATTTCGGGATTCGTCTCTCTCATGTTCGTACCGAGACACTCCACATGATCGTATGAAGGTACAAAAACCGTATCCGGAGAAACTCCCGTGTTCAAAAACTGAAGCGGGCTCGCAACTTCCATACCAGACCCAACCGTTTCGAAAGAGGTATTTTCAGCGCAGGTAAGCATTCTACACAAGCGGTCACTTTTCTTCTCCGCCGCACAACGCCCCAACACCAAGCACGCCATCTCAAAGGTATCCCTATCTTCTTCAGGGACGCTTTTGGCAGCTATTTTTGTGAAACCAACGGCGCAGCATTCGCCGGTTTCGCTATGATTGCTGGAATGTGCCGACCAACATTCTTCGCAACAATACGCACTACCGCATTTGTTGCACTTACCAAAGGGATTGTGTGCATCACCGCAGCAGTAAACGCAGCGCTGAGCTTTTGTATTACTAACGCTCGGTGCAACGCAGTATGCCTCCTCCTTGAATATGACGCTTCCCGCTGCTATGTTTGTTGCAGCTACAACAAAACGACCTCGACCGAGAGCAAATTCGCAGTGCATCTTTCTTTTGTACCAAGCCTGGTTTGGTTTCAACGTGCCACCATTTTAGATGATGATTTATGTTATTAGAGAACCAGACATAATACCAACGAGGAAGAAGAAGAAGGTTTTTTTTACTGATCAAAGATGGAATTACGTTGAATCCACAACAGAAAGACTAGAAAACATACTTCGCGAGGAAGAAAAATGATGAGTGAACTACTTTACCTCATGAGAAACCCTCTCGTACAGTCAGAAATTTCTTCGTGGCTTGTAGTTTTCTAAAAGATAATCTGGTACGAAACGTCTTTGTGTATTAGGTGAGACAAACTCTTCCCTGTTCGGTTTTTCTTGTAAATACTTAAGATAAGATGTTGTTTGTTTAACAGTTGCGCAAACTTTGTTTATCCAGGCTTTCCTTTTTGTTTCCCCGTTCTTTTTTGAGTTTAGCACATCCACGAGTATGCTGCTAAAGAAAACAAAAAGAGAATTTTCGATGTTGACAAAGAAGCGAAGGAACACTAGAAAACTGCTTTCACTACTTTCCGCGTCAAAGCGCGAGTATCAGCGGCGTTGCGTGACGCATCTCCAAGTAAGGAGGCCGTTGCGGTACCGTAAAGCGCAGCCAGCTGAACGCGCTTTAAGAACCACGAAGGATTAATGCTTGAATGCCCAACATGTGGTCCAGAAGACAGCGGAAGTCCGTGAAGAAAACTCTTCAGGAAAGACGAAGTCGCTGCACCGGCAATATCCTTGGTGCCAGAAAACTGAACGTGAGACGCCATCGCCTTTGATTTCAGAATTCGCCGTGCAGGGCCAAGGAGCTCGCTCAGCGCATTAACGCGCTCCATGTAGTAAACCGTTGTGTCCACAAATTCAGCTGTATTGATAACTGTGTACGGCACATTCGACGGATAATACTCAAGTACGACCGCGCTTGGCCAAAGCGCCGCCAGCGGTTTTAGTAACTCAATTTTGGTCAAAAGGGCCTTTTCCGCGACGTCGCTTTCCGTCGGCAGCTGAAATTGCCCTTGAACAAAATTTTCGAAATTCGCTTCGATAGATCGCACAACCGCATCTTTGCTAAAAGATAATTCAAGCTCTCGGTGAACAGCTTGGTTGCTCGACTTCACAACGTACTCCACCAGCGCAATCGGAAAGCCTCTGTTAAAAAGATCCGCGAGAGTGCGGTCGCTTATTCTTTTGTCTTCGATAGTTTTAAGTGCTGTAACAAGTGCACCGTTTGTGAAGCCGGTTGCTCTGACATGCTTTGCTGCTTCCGACAGAATTCTGTCTCGCAACTGGACTTTAGCTGGGTTGAGAGCAGCACACATGATTTCAATGTGGAAGGCTATGAACGCAAAGAAAAACTCTTTTAGTGAACAAAGGGGGAAAAAACAGCACGAGACTCGTTCAGACAAGTAAGAGGTGGGAGAAAGGAAACAACGTTTTTAACAGTGATAAGCTGTGGAAATGATGGTGAATATACTGCGGAATGCCGTTTTTTGTTAGCGAATATGTTCGCGTTCAATACTGAAACCTGGAACCCGCTCTTTACCGTCTTCTTCCTGTGGCGATGCATAATACCGCTGAAGCACCGACCGCGTTGACTCAAGATAAGCAAAATGAGCTTGTTCCTTTCGATAGAACGTGTTCGTTGACCTGATGATGTTGAGGTTACTAGTCTGAGCTCCTTAAAAAAAAGGACCTGTGCAATACTTCTTGACTCAGGTTTCGCAGCTTTCAGAGTTGGTCATTTCAAGAACAAGAAAAGGTCACTTGTTTTGCAACAAATCTCACAAGTCCCCTTCGTTCTCCTCTTCCACTCAATCAGCGGCAAAATGTAAAGCGGTTTTGGGTTAGCCGAAACTCCGGTCACGAGCTCTCCGTGCTTTTCCAAAAAGTCCGCCGTTTCAGAGAGAAAGATGGTGTCCCCCGTAGCAACACGGAAGAAAATGAAGATAAAGAAAGAAGGGGGGGGGGGGAAGCCTCGAAACGTTGTCACATTCGCGAAAGACGGTCTTGCTGCTTGACGTGGATTGTTTATGCCAGAGTTGAGAACTGTGCGGAAGACGTAGCAGCGGGACACCAGAACGCTGGTGTTGAAGATGAGCGGAAGGAGGGGGAAGAACTACCGTGTTCACAAAAGGTATTGGGGAGTTTGGCAGAAGGCTTTTTTTTTTAAACACGCAGACATCTGTTAAGTCACCTCTAATCGGTTTTTCTTGCAGGTGGCCGCATTTTACGCTTCTGCTCAGCGCTGCGTTCCGATCAGAGGAGATTGCTCCTTTTGTGTGAGCTCAACTCGTCGTCATGATTCGCCACTTTGTGTGAGATAACGGGTTTGGTCGTGAGCTTCTTTATCCGTTCTCGCACCTTTGGTTGACGTGGGTTAGAGTTGTCTGTCACGACTATTGCTACAGCGAACGCTTTCAAGTCATGCGCGAGGCACATTACTTGGCTCAACAACTTTGCTCTCAGAGGTGCGAACTTGTGAAGGGCGGGTAGAAGAGCGTTAATCACCTTATTTAAAATGCTATTCCTTTTCGCAGAGGTGCGCTGAGAAAAATGAGTTTTGAAAGGGTGTAGAAGTTGTGATGACACAGATTTCGTTTTCTCAATTTTATTTCGTTAAATGTGAGGTACATGCGCGTCGAGCTCTATTGTCTCTGTCTTCAGTTTCTAACGATACCCTATCACGTCCTATCGTATTATCGAATATACCCCCAAAGCGAGACAGAAAACTGTAGCCGCAAATGGGAAGGTAGTTCTTTTCCTCTCCGCAGTTTTATTGGATACATTGCTGCCAAGTATTTCGATTACTTTTTCTCTTTCTCATTGAAAATATATAGTTGCTATGTAGCGATGAGTTTCAAGTCAGGTACACAGGTTGAAGCTCCACTCGTATTTTTCTGTGGAAAGAGTATTGCAGCTGCTCCTGTTGGATAATACGGTTTTCTTTCCTGGTAGGAGTTCGTCAGCTTTCTTTTTTTTTTTACAGGAACACAGTTATGGATGGAATTTAGCCGGATCCAAGAACCATCGTTGATGCTGTCTTCGTATTTGAAAGAAAGCAGTAATTACAACACTGGCAAAAGCTTAAAGGTAGAGAAAGTCTAGAGGCGCTTCTACAAAGCTGCAGTTTTTTTTTCTGAGTATATGAAATAATCAGATTTTGTGCTGCTCATTTTTAATGCAGGCATCTGAAAACCTCGAGAGTCTAACCTACGTCAATAAAAGATAGAAAATGAATGCACAAGAAGAAAAAGGCGAAACCGCCTGTTCGTCATGAACCGTTACTGAATAAAGAAAATGCTGCTTTGAATTAGCTGATGTTTGCTTTCTAAGCTGACCTCCTCCTCCTTCCTTTCTTGTTTTGTTTGCTGTCCTTCATTATCACTTTTTGCACTGTTTAGTGTGCCATTGCTTTCTTTCCAAAAAAAAAGAACTAAACAAATACATGAGCACAGAAGTGGTATAACAACAAAAAATGATGTCTTCTAGAATTACGCAGGAGCTGAAAGAGCTCCCTCTAAACACGGTGGAGGACGCGCATGCTTTCTTTTCAATGACAGAGAATGCAAAGCGCCAAGGCATTGCCCTTCCACCAATCAGTCATTTGTTTTTCGGACGCGTTGATTCCGGGCTGAAGTTCGATCCCTACAACATTCGTACTGTATACCGAGACAACCGCCCGCTTAATTATTTTGTTGTCACAAAAGATTGGGTGATTCGAGTGAATCGACGCGATGCTGTGTACGAGCGCGTCGCGTCGACGCATGAATGGCTCCGTGAAGCAAAGACCTTTGCCCAAATAAGCAAGATTGGTTTTTTCCGACATTACCTCCGGAGCAAGGCACTGTTTCGACTGTTGAACGCGGTGCGGCGAATTAAGTTTGAACGAAACCGTGCTTTTCTGACAAAACGTCTGTTATTGATCACGCCAGCGTTCGAAAATTGCTTGATGCGCCTGCGCGCCACAGCCACCGAGTTACAATGGAAAGCAGAAAAAGGAGCCTACGTTAAAGTAGTCTCACTGTCGACAGGCGTAGAAGATCCTCAACCGCAGGGCTACACAGTCGATGAGTTTTCTTCAAAGCACGAAATTTTCGCACGAAAGCTGATTCTGTATATGCGGGATGTTGAGCAGAGAACTACTTCGCTAGTAACAAAAAGGTGCGCCGATGTTACGGAACTGGTCAGCGGCTTGAAAGTTATCCAAAAGGCCCCTGAGGCAATCGGAAGCGTCAACAAGGAAGTAGCGGCGAGAGAACTACGACGCTGCCAAATGGAGCAGAAGCGACTGGTGGTCGATTTCGAAAGTTTGCCGAGTTTACTCCGAGTAGCCCACCATTTACTGCTCGAGGCAATTTTTCAGCAGGCCTGCACAACATTTTTCGACTTGGAGGTAACGATTCGTAAAAGGAAGCTGAACTCAATTTGGCACTTTCGCGTGGAGTGTATTATTGGTGCCGATAAGAAGCTTTCACTAGCACCTGTGAAAGGTTACTTATTAGACACCGTGAATACTATCTTAGGCAATTCAATAAATCAACTGGCTGACACCGCTACCTGCTTGAGTTCCGAAAGAACGGGCAGTTTTAGTTCCGCAATCGACGCCGTTACCATCCGCCGTGCACTCCTTGATGACTCCTTGCTCGACACTTACAAGAAAAACATTTTACGCCGCATTGAAACCGATTACGACGACGCAAAGAGCAAACTCGCCTCGTACGAAAGCTTAATCGCTGTTTCATCTTTTCTCACCCACTGGCGCGAAGTTTCGAGCCGCTGGGAGCACATTTTGGCTCTGGGCGAACCCGTTTTCAACAGCCTTACTGAGCAAGAAATTCGCAGTTACGCAGCAAAAACCTTCAAGTCACAAGCGGAACTTGAAAAAATCGCCACGCGCTCTTTCAACTCAATCATTGTAAGCTGCAGCGAAATATTGCAAAAGTTAAGCGCTGATTTAAAGACTGTTCTGAGCACGATCGACGAGTCTTTGAATCAGGCAATTGAGTCGAATTACAATGCATTAAAGTCCGAGCACCGCGACTGGACTGGAAAGCTGTGCATTCCTGACCTCAAAGTGGAACCATTTGTTGCGTGGTATTTAAATCTCCAGGATTCCAGTGCAGCATTCGAAAACTTTGATAATCATGTGGCGGATTTGCAGAATTTGTATCGCCTGCAGGCCGAATTTCGTGAGAAGGCGCATCTCGGACCTGCAGCAGAATCGCCGGATTTGGTAGCCAGTTTACGTGAGCCTTTCCAAGACGCCATCAAAGACGCGCAAAACTTCCAAGCAGCAAACTTCAACAAAATACGAGATCTACTGCAAAAAGAGTATGAACACATTATCGACGCTTTGCGCATCTCGGAACGACGCCTCGCTACCACATTTGCTGATGAGAGCGCTGACGAAGTGGACTCCCCTGCGTTGGAAAAACTAAAAATCACTCGCGACAGTCTCTCAGAGACTCGTCATGTGGCCAAGCAGCTGGACGCGTTTGCTCAAGTATTAGAAATGGAGCCGTTCAACTGGTCTGAAATTGCTGTCGCCCAGGACGAACTGCGGAAGTATGTGGAGTTGTGGAATATTCACAAAGAAGCGGCGGAGCTGCGGAACCAGCTAGACTCAAAGGTTGTTGATGAGTTGGACGGGCCAGAATTGGAGAGCAACGTTGTGCTGCTCTTCCAACGCGCGTTTAAGGCACAAAAGAGCACCCCCGGTGGCGTTGCCGATATTCTCATGGAATCCTTAGCCATTGAAAAAGCAAAGCTTTCCACCTACGTGGAGCTGTGCAATCCTGCTTTAAAAGAGCAACATTGGGCGGAACTATTCAAGGTTGCTTCCATACCACCGGTGCCGCCGTCCAGGCGTACACTCCGGGCATTAGAACGGACGGGCTTAATGAACGAAGAGAACGCCACGATACTTCGCGAGGTCGTCTCCAACGCGGTCGGGGTGTACGAGCTGGAGTGTCATCTGAGCAAACTGGAGCAGTACTGGGCAGACCACTTATTTACCGTGGTACCGTACGCAGGCAGGTCGAACGCCTTTGTCATAGACGCCGTCGACGAGACACGCGAAGACCTCGAGGAGCAGCAGATTGTGGTGCAGACGTGTCTCAGTTCCAAACACGTTGCGCCCGTGCAGGCACAACTGATGGAGTGGGAGGGAAAGCTGAACCTACTTCACTCCGTCTTGGATGAATGGGTTGGCGTGCAAAAGATGTGGATGTATCTCGAGTTCATCTTCACAAGCGATGACATCAAGAGGCAGCTGCCCGACGAATCTTTGCTGTTCATCTCAGCCGACCGATTCTTCAGTTCTCTCATGCGACGGTGCGCAGAGGAACCGCTCATGGCACCGCTGTGCTTAGAAGGTGATGGTGACGCGCTCAAAAAGCTGCAGAAGTGCACGTACCAACTTGAGTGCATTCAAAAGAAAATATACGAATACCTCGAAACAAAGCGAGTCGCATTCCCACGATTCTACTTCCTCTCAAACGACGAGCTTCTTTCCATCCTGTCCGACTCGCGCAACCCACTTGCGGTGCAGCCACATTTGCAAAAATGCTTCGACAACATCAAATCTTTGGTGTTCGCCGATTCCAGGACCATCGTGGCCATGCGAAGCTCTGAAGGCGAGGAGGTCGCGTTCACCGTCCCGGTGAAGGTGATGGGCAACGTGGAGAGTTGGCTGAACGACGTTGAGCGGGCGATGCAGGCAACGCTGGCGGACCGACTCGTATTCTGCCTTGGCGCCTACTCGTCGGAGCAGCGAACGACGTGGTTTTTCGAGCACCCCGCGCAGTGCGTGACCACAGTGGACCAAATCATGTGGACCCGCGAGGTCGAGGACGTAATCGCAGAGACAGGATATGGGTCTGCGACTGCGTGGACAGAGTATCAAGCACACTTCGGCTCGCAGCTGCTGCAAACGGTAGAGCTCGTGAAGCTCCCTCTTACGGCGTTGCAGCGCACCGTGGTGTGCAATTTGATCGTGGTGGATGTGCACTGCCGTGACGTTTGCGCTGAATTAGCTGGGACGAGTCCAGAGGCGCCGCAACAGACGTGCGACTCGGTGCTCGACTTTGGGTGGCAGAGGCAGCTGCGCTTTTATTACGACGTTCCCACAGCTGCACGTAACGCGGGTGGCAGCAAGGCAGACTGCTTTGTGCGTCACGGCGCTGCGGAACTGCCGTACGGCTACGAATACCTCGGCAACCAAGCTCGCCTCGTCATAACCCCGCTCACCGAGCGCGCCTTCCTCACCTGCACGGCGGCGCTGCACATGCAGAAAGGCGCCGCACCACAGGGCCCTGCCGGGACAGGAAAGACGGAATCCGTGAAGGATTTGGGCAAGGCACTCGCCCGCCCCGTCGTGGTGTTCAACTGCTCCGACGGTCTTGACTACCGCATGATGAGTCAAATGTTCGCTGGTCTGGCGCAGGCTGGTGCGTGGGCCTGCTTCGACGAGTTCAACCGCATCGAACTCGAGGTGCTGTCGGTGGTGGCGCAGCAGATGCTTGATATTACGACGGCCATTACGCAGAAGCAGACGTCGATCGACTTCGAGGGCCACCGCATAAAGCTGCACCCCAACTTCGGCGTCTTCATCACGATGAATCCCGGCTACGCCGGACGCACCGAGTTGCCCGACAACCTGAAGGCCTTGTTCCGTCCCGTGTGCATGATGATCCCCAACTACGCCCTCATTGCGGAGATTATGTTCTACGCCGAGGGCTACGGCAAGGCGCAGGCGTTGGCCGCGAAGATGATCCGCCTGTACTCGCTCGCATCGCAGCAGCTGTCGAGGCAGGACCACTACGACTTTGGCATGCGCGCCGTCAAATCCATTTTGGTGCTCGCCGGGCGACTCAAGCGGGCCGACCCCGACACCGAGGAGGAGCTGCTGCTTGTGCGCGCCATCCGCGAGGCGAACCTGCCGAAGTTTCTCGTCGACGACCGTCACCTCTTTCTCGCACTCCTGCACGACTTTTTTCCCGCCTTCACCGAGGTGCCGGCGGCACCGGTGAGCGAGCTTATTCGCAACGAGGCCGTGCGCGTGCTGGCAACAACGCTGGTTCAGTCCACCGCATGCGCCGTGACCACCGCACTGAAGCTGCAAGCCACGGAAGGCTTGCTCTTCAAAATCCAACAGCTCTTCGACACACTCATGACCCGGCACGGTCTGATGCTGGTGGGGCACACCATGACCGGCAAGACCACGGTGCGCAACACGCTCGCCGCTGTGCTGGCGCCACTCGGCGAGTTGCTCGACAGGAATGGGAGCAGCAGTAGCAACGACAGCAACAGCGACACCATCGATGGCGGGGGCGTGGTTCGGAATCGCAGCTTACTCAGGTCCGGAAGCGTCACGTGCGCAGATCAACAGCACAACACCGCTGCCGCGCTGCGCCGCCTCGACGCGCGCTGCCAGTCCTTCTTCACCACCACGTACTCGATCGAGTGCAACCCAAAGGCGATTTCCATGACGGAGTTGTACGGCGACGTGAACCCTCTCACACGGGAGTGGCAGGACGGCGTCTTCTCCTCGATCGTGCGCGAGCTCGTACGGGCGAGCGCGACGGAGACGAAGGGGCGAGCCGCCACGCGTCACTGGATCGTGTTCGACGGCCCAGTGGATGCCGTCTGGATTGAGAATCTGAACACCGTCCTTGACGACAGCAAAATGCTGTGCCTCGTCAACGGGGAGCGCATTCGCATTCTCGACAACATTTCCCTCCTGTTCGAGGTGCAGGACCTGCGCGTGGCGTCGCCTGCCACCGTGTCGCGCTGCGGCATGGTCTACGTGGACGAGGAGTGCGTCGACGACGGATGGACGCCGGTGCTGCGGAGTCTCTCACAGGCGGCGGCCGCCGATCTGGGAAGCCGCTGGTGCCACGAGCGTTTCATGCAGCTCTGCCAAGCGGTGCTCCCCCCGCTCTTTCAGGTCATTCGCGAGGAATGCCAGGAGTACATCCACACGAGCAACGTGCAGCTGGGACTGAACCTCTTCTACCTGCTCAAGGCCGGTGTGGAGCAGCTGTGTGGCATGATCGAAGAGGACAGGCAGGAGCAGCAGCATCGGCAGCAGGATGAGGCGACGGTGTCGTCGGTGGTGAAGCTGCGCGCCGCACGTGTTTCGATCGACACGTCAGCAGACGAGGACCCGCTGGACATCGCGGCGGCGGCGCGGCGCTACTCCCATCGCCAGTCGCGGCGCCACACCCGTCGCCGCAGCTCCCTCGCGGCTCGCACGTCGGCGCTGCTTCTCGGCGACGCCCTCTTTGATGCGCTTTTTGTGCAGAGCTGTGTCTGGGGCCTGGGTGGAAATCTGACCGAGGCGACACGTGATCGCTTCGCGTCGGCCATGCTGCCGTTGGTGCGACAGGAGTCGTTGTTTTTCCCTGAAGGCGTGGAGGCGGAGCAAGGTGGCGTCTTCAACTACGCCGTCGACTTCGAGACGGGCGACTGGCGCCGCTGGGGGGAGATGGTGCCGGCGTTTCAGTACGACGCCAGCGCGTCCTACTTTGACCTGCTTGTCCCGACCGAGCAGACTGTCGTGCTGCAGTACCTGCTGAGGAGCGCCACAACCACGCAGCATCACATGCTGCTGAACGGCCTGACCGGCACGGGCAAGTCGTCCACTGTGAATAGCTACCTACAGCAGGTGTTACTCACCGAGGAGGCGACGAGCAAGACGGCGGCCTTCCGCTTCACCCTCTCCGCGCAGACCTCCGCCCACGCCCTGCAGAACACTATCGAGATGCGGCTGGCACGGCGCAAGTGCGACCGTGAGTTTGGCGCGCCGCCCGGCAAGCGGATGATCGTCGCCGTGATCGACGACTGCAACGTGCCGCAGCTGGAGGAGTACGGCGCGGCGCCGCCGATTGAGCTACTGCGACAGATGATCACGCAGGGCGGCTTCTACGACCGCAAGAAGCTCTTCTTTAAGGAGGTGGTGCAGACGATGCTGATCGCCTGCTGCGGCGAGCCGGGCGGCGGCAAGAACGAGATGTCGCCGCGATTTACGTCGAAGATGCTGTGCTTCTGCGCACCGCAGCTGACGCCGACCTCGATGCGGTCGATCTTCTCTGCCATTCTCAGCGGCTTCTTCCAGACGCGCGGGTTTGCGACCGAGGTACGCGCCATGACCGACGCCGTGGTGGACAGCACGATCGAGGCGTACCGCCGCATCGCCGTGGAGTGCCTGCCGACGCCGGACAAGACCCACTGCACCTTCAACCTGCGAGACGTGAGTAAGGTGTTTCAGGGCATCCTGCAGGTGAAGCCCGCCCACTGCTCCACGCCCGAGGCACTGATGCAGCTGTGGAGCCACGAGGCCTCCCGCGTCTTCCACGACCGCCTCGTCGACGACGACGACCGCCAGTGGTGGTGGCAGTGCTGCGCGGAGGTCATCACGAAGCACTTCAGCGAGAGTGACGATTCCGAGTCATCTCCTCCTGCTTTGCCCGCCGCGGAGCTGTCGCAGCAGCTGCCGGCGATTTTGTACGGCTCATGGGCCGACCATGCGAAACGCGAATACCAGCGCATGGGCCAGGCGGCGGACCTACAGGCTGCCGCGCAGCAGCACCTGGTCGACTACAACATGCAGAGCACTACACCGATGAACCTTGTCTTTTTTGACGAGGCTGTGCAACACCTCTCGCGCATCTGCCGCATCGTGAGCCAACCCCGCGGCCACGCGCTGCTCGTCGGCATTGGCGGAAGCGGCCGCGCCTCGCTGTGCCGCCTCGCCGCCTTCATCATGAACATGGACGTGCAGACAGTGCACATCGCCCGCAACTACGGCATCAACGACTTCCGCGATGAGATGCGCAAGGCCCTGCTGGAGTGCGGCGCTCGCGGGAAGGAGGTGGTGTTTCTGCTGTCGGACCCTCAAATTGTCTGTGGCGAGATGCTCGAGGACGTCAACAACCTCCTCAACGCTGGCGAGGTGCCGGGGATGATGGGGCTGGAGGAGATGGAGGTGATTGTGCGCGGCTGCCGCGAGGCCTGCGTCGCCGCTGGCCGTCCAGATTCCCGCTCTAGCATCTACGGCTACTTTGTATCCCAGTGCTGCGAGCGTTTCCACCTCTGCCTGTGCATGTCGCCTATGAGCGGCGTCTTCCGCGACCGGCTGCGCATGTTTCCTGCGCTGGTGAACTGCACCACCATTGACTGGTTCTCTGAGTGGCCCCAGACGGCGCTCCTCGCGGTGGCGCAGGCTGCGCTTAAAGACAGTTCCAATCTACCACAGCAGCAGCAGCAGGAGCAGGAGCAGGAGCAGCAGTCGTCGACGGAGAAGTTGGATGTCCTCATGGTCTACCTACAAGCAACCGTCAAGGAGGCCGCGGAGCAGCTGTTCGAGCAGCACCACCGCCGCACCCACGTCACCCCGACCAACTACCTTGCCGTGCTCACGCTCTTCAACTCGACGGCGCGGCAGCTGCGGCGCGACTTGCAGACCCACGCCCACCGCTACCGCAATGGCCTAGAGAAGCTGGACAACGCCAACGCGACCATCGCCCAGTTGCAGCAGCAGATCTTGGAGATGCAGCCGGGTCTGACGACGGCGGCGCAGCAAGTGGCGGAGCAGAAGCGGAGCCTCGCGATGGAGCAGGAGGACGCGGACGCCCTCAAGAAGGCGCAGTCGGAGGAGGAGGCCATCGCCAAAGGGCTCATGGAAGAGGCAGAGTCGATTCGGCATGAGTGCGAGGCGGGCCTGCAGCAGGCGTTGCCCGCACTGGAGGCGGCGGAGCAGGCCCTCCAAACCCTCAGCGCGAAGGACATCCAAGAAATCAAAACCTTCACGACCCCACCGAGCAATGTCGAGAAGACGATGAACGCGGTGTTGGTGCTGCTCGGTGAGAAGGAGGGCTGGGCCAGCGCCAAGACGTGCCTCGGCAAGATGGACTTTATTTCACGGCTGACCGACTACCCCCGCGACACCATCGCCCCGGCGTGCATCCGAAAGCTCGCTGTGTTTGTGCAAGATCCCGATTTCGTGCCGGACGTGATTGAGAAGACGTCGCTGCCATGCCGGTCGATGTGCATGTGGGTGCACGCAATGTACAAGTACTACTTCGTCGCAAAGGAGATCGCGCCGAAGCGGGCGCGGCTGGCCGCGGCAGAGACAAAGGTGGAGGCGGCCCGCATTGAACTGCAGGCGAAGCAGGCAGCGCTGCAGAAGGTGCTCGACCGCATCGCCGAGCTGCAGGTCGCCGCGGATGCCACGCAAGCAAAGGCTGACCACTTCCAACGTGAGATTGAGACTGCACAAGGTCGGCTTACCCGAGCAGATCAGCTGATCCACGGCCTGGCTTCGGAGCGCGGGCGCTGGGAAGTTGCGCTGGCGAAGCTGGAGATGCAGCTGGGGTGTGTCGAAGGGACAGCGGCGTTAGCTGCCGGCTGTGTCGGCTACCTTGGGCCTTTTCCATTAGACTACCGAGAGGTGTTGCTGTCGCGATGGCGGTCGCAGTGCACGACGCTCGGCATCGCCTTCGACGCGACGTACGCCCTCGCGACGATGGAGTCAGACGCGCTGGTTCAGCAGTGGTCCCTGCACTCGTTGCCGCGCGACACGTACTCGATCCAAAACGCCACCATCCTTCACCGCAGCACGCAGTGCTGCTACATGATCGACCCGCAAGGGCAGGCCAACACGTTTGTGCGCAAGCTGGAGCGGAGTCGTGGCCACGGTGCGGCGGACCTGTTGCAGCTGAAGCTGAACAGCCCGAACTTCATGCGACAAGTGGAGAACGCGGTGCAGAAGGGGCAGGCCGTGCTGCTGGAGGACGTCGGCGAGACGCTGGACACCGCGCTCGATCCTATTTTGCTAAAGCAGGTTCGTCGGGTGGCGGGCCGCAGCGTCGTCACGCTGGGCGACCGCGAGGTCACCTACGATGAGCGTTTCCACCTCTACATCACGACGAAGCTCGCCAACCCAGTGCTGACGCCGGAGCTGCAGGTGAAACTGACGGTGATCGACTTCACCGTCACTCGGGAAGGGCTGGAGGAGCAGCTGCTCGCCGACATCGTCGGGTGCGAACGTGCGTCGCTGCAGCAGCGCAGTGACCGCTGCGTCGTGTCTATCGCCGCGCACCGGGAAGAAATTGCCGCGTTGGAGGCGAAGGTGCTGCAGCAGCTCAGCGACGCCACCGGTGACGTTCTGGACAACGTGGATTTGATTCACGCCTTGCAGACGTCGAAGGTGACGGCGGAGAAGATCGCTGTCGAGCTGGCGGCGGTGGAGGAGACGAACAAGACGATCAACGTCACGCGTGAGCTGTATCGACCCCTTGCCGTCCGCGGGTCACTGCTGTACGGCGTGATTGCACAGATGGCGAAGGTGGACTCCATGTACGAGTACTCCTTGCCCTTCTTTAAGGGGCTGATGGCGTCGGTGATGACATCAACACGGCGTAGTAGCGGTGGCGGTACGTTGCTGCAGGCGGTGACCCCAACACCGTCGATAACGTTCCGCCGGGATAGCATCGACCCCGTAAGGGAGGAGTTGCGCAGTCGCCGCGGCACTATGATGATGGACCTGGAGCGGAGTGCGATGGCCTTTGCAGGCGACGCCGTCGCCTCTGACGAGGCGGTGCTCCCTGTTGAGGAGGTGCGGGATCGCGTCACGATGTTGGTCGAGGAGGCGACGTGGACGAGCTATCGCGTGCTCTGCCGCGGCCTCTTCGGCGCGCACAAGCTGCTCTTCAGCTTTGTCGTCGCGACGACGCTGCTGAAAAGCACCGGGGCTATTACGGAGGCGGAGTGGAATCTGTTTCTGCGCGGCGGCGGTGGTGCCGGCGGTGCGCTGGCCCCTGCCTTTGCCGTCCCCGGTGCGTCTGGTGAGGCGAGTCGCAGGCCGTCGTATTTGTCTACCGGGACCTGGACCGATTTTGCGGCGCTGTGCACCCTTGACGCTTTCGCAGAGGTGTGCCGCAGCTTTATAGCCTCCCTCTCCGATACTTCGTCTTCCCTTTCCACGGAAGCGGATGCGGATGCGAGAGGGGGTGCGGAGGGCGGCGCGCTGCCGTGGCCAATTTGGTTCACGTCCACGTGGGGGGCCGAGGTGCTGTCCCGCATGCCGTCCTCCATCGCGCAGCTCTCCCTGTGGCACCGCGTCATGGCCATCAAAGCTCTGCGGCCCAAGAAGCTGCCGTACATGGCGGCCGAGCTTGTCACGGCCACGCTGGGTCGTCGCTACACCGAGGCCCCGCCCTTCAACCTGCAGGAGGCGTTCGCCGACGGCACCAAGATGACGCCGCTCATTTTCGTTCTGTCGCCCGGCGTCGATCCGACATCGCTCTTTCTTGATTTTGCGGAGGAGCAAGGATTTGGGACACGGAAGTACATGCTGTCCTTGGGCCAAGACCAAGGTGTACGGGCGGCGCAGATGATCCGTGACGGTCAGCACGAGGGGGCATGGGTGTACCTGCAGAACTGCCACGTGTACGCGTCGTGGATGCCGCAGCTGCAGGCGATCGTGGAGGCGATGAACCCGACGGAGATCCACGACGACTTCCGGCTTTGGTTGACGAGCAGCCCATCGCCAAGCTTCCCGGCGGTGGTGTTGCAGGCCGGGTTGAAGCTGACACAGGAGCCGCCGATGGGGCTGCGCGGGAACGTGCTGAGCATTCTACGGAGCAACATCGTCGCGGAAATGTGGACGTCTGCGGCGGACAGCGGCAATGTGGATGCCGTGGCTGCAGTGCCCGTGGCGCCGCAAACAAGAGCCGCATCGGCGAATGCCGCGGTTCCCTGCACCGCCACCCCTCCTGTGGAGCTGCAGCGACTTGTCTGGACGCTCGCCTTCTTCCACGTGACGGTGATGGAGCGGCGCCGCTTTAGCCCGCTTGGGTGGAACATCGCGTACTACTGGGGTGCCGCGGACTTCGCGGCCGGCGTCGCCACCATACGAACGGCACTGTCTCGCTACAGCGCGGACAGGCTCGACGACAGCAGCAACAGTGACTCCCCTGCACAAGGCAGCTTTTCGACCGAGGAGCTGTGCTACATGCTGGGCGTGATCGACTACGGTGGCCGCGTGACGGACGAGTGGGACACGCGGTGTCTGCAGGTGCTAACGCGCCGTTACTTTGGCGATGCGGAAGCATCGACAGCGTCCCCCTCCGACCCCCTCGCACCACCCGCCTTTCCTGCGGATGGCCTGACGTACGCCGAGGTGCTGCAGCTGGCAGAGACGGCATTCCCGAGCGGCGCCGAAGGAGAGGGCGGCACCGCCAAGGCGGTGCCGGCGGAGAGCCCAGCGCGCTTTGGCCTGCACGACAACGCGACCCTCGCAGTGGAGCAGCAGCTGTCGTCGAACCTGATCGACGCGTTGGTGTCTATGAACGCCGGCGGGGTCGTGACATCGACGCAGCGGCGCCACTCCTCGTTGCGACCACCAGCGCCGACGGGCGAGGAGGGACGACAACACGACAGCAACGTAGGCGACACCGCAGCGGCCGCGGAAGAGGAGAATCCAGTGGTGGTGGTCGCGAGGGAGCTGCTTGGTCAGCTACCCGCGTTGCTGCCACGCTGCGACCCGGTCGTGAACACACCCGCTAAATCCTCCTCCCCCAGCGAGGGTTTTACCAAAGCGGCCGCTCTCGCCGACCCAGCTCCGCTGCATACGCTGCTTTCGCACGAGACGGACCTCTACAACCGGCTTCTGAGCGTCATGCGCAGCACCCTCGAGGAGCTGATGCGGGCGGTGAAGGGTGAGGTGGTGGTCACGGCCCCCCTTGAGTCCCTGATGCAACGTCTCGCCTTTAACCAGGTGCCAGAGCGCTGGCTGCAGGTCGGCTACCTGTCCCTGAAGCCGCTCGGGTCTTTTATGGAGGACCTGCAGCGACGTGTGCACTTTATGCGCCGCTGGGGCGAGGCGGGGCTCCCACCGAGCTTCTGGCTGTCGGGCGTCTTCTTTCCGCAGGGGTTTGTGACGGCGCTGCTGCAGGCTCGCAGTCGCGCGTTGCGGGTGCCGATCGACTCGCTTCAGCTGCGGTTTCGTGCGCTGACGCCACAAGAAGGCGCGCGTGTCATGGCGGCGACAACGGCACACGCGTCGAGTGATCTTACGAATACTGCGGACGTGGAGCCGGTGGTGGGGGCTTACGTGCATGGCCTCTTCCTGGAGGGCTGCGGGTGGGACCACCAGCGAGGGGGCTTCGTGGAGTCCGCCCCGGGGGCTTTGACGACAGAGTTGCCGGTGATCCACTTTGAGGCGATTACGGCGGACGAGTTGGCTGCAACGGCCGCCACCGCCACCACGACTGCCGCCGCAACGGCCCCGTCTGAGTACGCGTGTCCGCTGTACAAGGTTCGCACGCGTGCCGGCACGCTGTCGACGACCGGTGTGTCGACCAACTATGTCACCTGCATTACCCTGCCTTCGTTGGATGGCGTCTCGGGTGATCACTGGACGCTGCGTGGTGTCGCGGCGTTGTGCGCGTTAGATGATTGATGCAGTGCCTCTTTGCATTTATATGTGTTTTGTTTGCTCCGTATCTTTTCCTTTTCTTCTCGCGTTTACATTTTGCGTGTTTGCTGTTGAGAAGGTGCCTCCTGCCGTTGTGTGGTTCTCCAAGGCGCTTCGTTTTCTGTTTTGTTCTTTCACGTTGCCCTTTGCACCTCTGACACGCTGCATAGTCCGTGTGCTTACGATGCCGGTTGTGTATGCAACTCTACGCCGATCGGCCTTTTCTCGATCTGCCGCTTTCATCGTTCCATCTTCGTCTTGTATATAACAAACACATGCTTTGATAAATTGTTTGTTTTCACATGTTTATCCCTGTAAGCGTTCACACCCACCCACACAAACGTTTGTGTGTGTGGGTGTGTGTATTTGTGGCGTGCCACTTCAATCCTTACCATCGATGTACGAAAGAGTATTAGAATCAAAAGAGAAAGAAGAAAAAAAGGTTAAACAAGAACGTGCTGGGGACGCGTGGAGGTGGTGAGGTGCTACCACGCACGGAGGCGGACGAGTGTTTGGAGCATTCGGCCGATTTCCATGCAGCGTGATCAAAGAGCGAGATGATGAAGCGCGCATTGGCGGAGAGGGCCGTGTCTCTACGAAATCGAAAATGATGAATCTTTCTTTGCGGCAGTTCGACGAAGGTGAGCGCTTCTTGTGTTGGGAGTAGCCAGCACGCACTGCAACAAGAAATTCTGTTCGACAGCGCTCGTGCACACGTGCGGCGTCGCACCTGCGTGATTTCCCTCCTCCGCGTCCGCTCGCCGTGGCGCCGGGGGGGGGGGTTTCCGCTGCAGCTGTCATGTTCCCACTTTTTGCGTTTCTCTGCAAACCGTTGCCTCTTATTTTTTCCTTCTCCGTCTCGCCTCCTCCTGTCGTTCTCGTTTCTCAACCCACGTTTGTACCACTGCGAAGATTTCGCTACCCGTTAGCTAGCACGCATTGATCCACTTTCACTTTCAAGTAGGAAAACAAAACAAAGAAAAAAGAAAACACGAGACAGAAACAAATTTGCATCCTCAACGACGCAAAACAAACACCCCAAAAACAAGGACTAGCAAATCCTGCACTTTTCGATTTGCGTTCGTTTTCTCCTCTGCTACTCTACGCACTTCTGACCCGAGCTGTCTCGCGTTTCTTCTTTGCCAGTTCGTGATTTACTCGCACCCAACCGTGTCGCAACGACCGCAGCAACAACCAGGCGGACCCCGGCATTTGCAATCCTTTCTGTTCTCTGTATTTTATCGCTGGAACGCTTTGTTTGCTGTTTTTCTCACCGGTCTCTCTGTCCCTACATATATATAAATATATAAATATATTTCTTCTGAATCGTCAGAATTAATAACGCTGACAGATAGCTTCTCTTTTCCGCCTTCACGTTTTAGAGCTTTTCTTTACCCCTTCATTTCTCATTCATCAGCGGAAAGCTTTGAGTCTTGTCGCGTTGAGCAGTCCGCCGCCACGGAAGGCAACAGCAGAAACCACATATATTTATGAGTATTGGTTTATCGTGTTCTCGCGGCAGTTGTGCAGAACTGTGCTGCTTTCATAGAATCTTCACCTTCCCTCCTCCCCCAATAGCAGAAGGAGGGACTCTTTCATGTGCGGTTTAACATTACTTTTATTATTGCTATAAAACCGATCCGCTCTCTCTCTTTTTAGTTTATTCCTCTCTTTTCTCGACGAGCTTACCGGTTGCCGAAGCTGCACCTGTTCTCAAAGTGTGCCTGCTCTCGTTCCTTTCGCCTACACGCGCGTGAGACACCTCGCATAAGTCCCCCTCACGCTCGAACGCATATTTGCTCTCACCACTGCTATTTTTTTTTCTCGTTTTTTTGTTCGCAGAGCGGGAGAACGATATAGGCAAGGAGAGAAACAAGCAAGGCGTAACATGAGTTCCTACCAACCCGCCACAGCAGTCTCCACAGCGCCGTCTATGGGCAACTACGGCAACTCGCGGCGCGGCCCGCGCAACACGACCGCGCCGTCCGCAGCAGCACCAACTGCTACTGCCACTACCATCTCCAACACCATCGGCTCTCCGGGCACCGTGTCGAACATGTCTGACTCGCTTAACAAAGGGACTGCCACCTCGGCGGGGCTGCCCTTTAACGCGGCGAACACCATCAACCCGGTCGCGTCTCCGCGCACGGAAAGGGGCGATGCCAACCACGGCAACGGCAACGCAGCTGCAGACGACAAGATTGGTAACACGACGGACTCCGTGATCGAGGAGTTAAAGGTGCTGGCGAAGTCGATGTTGGAGGCGACGAACGCGGCCCGGCGGCGCACGAGCTCCATTGAGCACCGCAAATCGTACGAGGCCCTCATGCATGCCATTGAAAACCGCGTCAATGGAGAGACGAGTAACGGCAGGAGAGAGACCATTACGAACACCACTGCCGTGTCTGGTGGCGTTGGAGCCGCTGCTGGAAGTGCCCGGCAGCTTCAACCACAACAGCAGAATCAGCAGCAGCAACAGCAGCACATCGATCCCAATATGAGCGACGTGTCCGGGTCGGAGCTGCTGTCGGCTCATCTGATCGAGCAGTTGACGGATATACCGGCAGAGCTGTCGCCTGGCAACCGGGTGCGTCAGATGCAGCAGCTAGAACAGTTACAGCGGCAGCAGCAGCAGCAGCGCAGTAAGGCGACGAGGGGACGCAACGCCGGTGCCGCAACGACTGCTGCTGCAACGAAGCCTGACTCCACTGTTGAAGCAGCAGCCGTGATAGCTGCAGCAGAAGCAACGAAGGCACCAGCGCAACGTGTCCCCGCCGCCGTGACGCGCGAAGACATCGCTGAGGAGGCAGTCGAGGAGGAGAACCTGGTAGCGCAAGAGGAGGAGCTGGTCTACCCTACGGCGAAGGACACTGTGGCGCGCCGTGCTGGTCGGAGAATGCCGCCCGCCGAGGACGAAGAGGATGATGACGACGACGGCACCGCCTACGACGGCGTGCGGGCGCAGGTGCTCTTTAAACCAGTGAACCGCACAGCCTATCACGAGGTGCTTGCCTCCACGTGGAAGCCGGAGGGGCTGACGCGGCGCGTGCCGGTGGAGGAGAACCCCCGGAAGAGGGGCTCAGGCGGCAGTAGCAGCAGTAGCAGCAGCAGCGACCGCAGCAGTGACACGGAGGACGAGGAGGACGATGACGAGGCCATGGCGACGGTCACCACGCGCAACAAAGCACGCAGGGCGTCGGAGACGCAGCCGATGCGGACCATGAAGGTCTACCGTGTCCCCGCCTTCCCGTACGGCGGCGGCGTGACGGAGCAGCAGGCGCGTCTCCTGCAACGTCAGTTCGACGCCTGCATCCAAAGCGGGGAGCATTTGCACTCGAACGCGACGGGACCGAAGCTGATCACCAAGGCGGCGTTTGACGCGTACGACTACAACGAGGTGGTCGTCGCGACGGCTCAGATGGACCTGAAGACCTTCAAGCCGACCTCACCCTACGAATTTGTTGTCGAGGTGGAGCGGGATGTTCGCTTTGACGCCGTCAAGTCACGCGAGGAGCGCCGCCGCCGCTTCAAGCGTCTCGTCCACGAGAACCGTGCCCCCGCCACGATGGGCACCTTCGACCTCCGCGTGATCATGGACCCGTTCAAGACCGGCTTCGAGGAGGAGAAGAACTTCCCGATAATCCCCGGCACGGTGATTGCGGGGCGCTACGAGATCATTCAAATGCTGGGCAAGGCCACCTTCAGTCGCGCGGTGCGGTGCTACGACCTGCACGATCCCATCTACGACGATGCCGAGGGTGACGAAGAGGCGGAGGAGGCGGAGTACAGTAGCGACGACGACGATGATGACGGAGAGGAGGGTAATGCGGGCATCGAGGCGAAGGAGAATGGCGCGTCTGCCTCGCCCGCAGAGGACGCGACTGCGGATGACGACGATAAAAAAGACATCAGCAGCAGCGCCGCCGTCGCCGCCGATACTGCCGCATCCCCGGCGGTCTCGAAGCAGGAGGCGAAGACAGACGCTAAAAAGAAAGGTTTGCACGGCAGGCGGTCCGCGAAGAAGCGGAAGCTGCTCGGGTACGGGCAGGTGTGTCTTAAGATTATCAACAACACGAAGGACTTCTTCGACCAGTCGTTAGACGAGATTCGGCTGCTGACACTGTTGAACCGGCAGCGCGACCCGGACGAGGCACACATCGTCCGCCTCATTGACGCTTTCTACTACAAGGAGCATGTTATGCTCGTCACGGAGCTGCTGCGCGACACCCTCTACGACTACGGCAAGTACAACCGTGAGGAGGAGGAGGAGTTCTACTTCACAGTGCCGCGCCTGCGCCGACTCACTCGTCAGATCACCGAGGCCCTCACGTACGTGCACTCGCTCAATCTTATCCACACCGACCTGAAGCCGGAGAACATCATGTTTGTCTCGTACAGTCGCTGCATTGTGAAAGTAATCGACTTTGGTAGCAGCTGCTTCCTCAGCGACCACCTGAGCTCGTACATCCAAAGCCGTAGCTACCGCGCACCGGAGGTGGTGCTCGGCTGCGACTACGACGGCCGCATCGACGTCTGGTCCCTTGGCGCGATTCTAGTGGAGATGGTCACGGGGGATGTGCTCTTCACTTCCGACACGGTGCCGGAGATGCTGGCGCGCATCGTGTACGTCTGCGGGACCCCGTTTCCACGACACATGCTGTGGGAGGGCCGGCACACCAGCGACTACATTAATAAATTCGGTTGCATCTACGAGTACGGCGGTGCCGGTGACGACCGCGGCGCGCACAACGGCAAGGGTGAGGAGGACGGCGAGGAGCCCTACTGCCTCTACACACCGGTGCCGACGATGTCCCCGCACACGTGCAACGCGCCGAAGAAGTCGAAGGCGACCTCGACCACCTCGCGCACGCCCGGCGGCCCGTACAGTGTGTTGCGCGAGAAGCTGGCTGCGGCGAAGATGGTGGACGAGGACTTCATTTCGTTTGTGGAGGCGTGCTTGACGCTGGACCACAAGAGGCGTCCCACCTCAGCGCAGCTGCTGGGTCACCCTTTCATCAAGGGTGAGCTAATATAAGGCCGGTTGTTGGGCAGGGAAGACAAGGGAGGTGTTTGTGTGTCTCCTCACCACCACCGACTTCTATTGTTTTATGGCTTTTCTCCGTTTAAAAGAGAGTTGAGGTTTCTTTATATATATATACGGTTGCTGGTTGATCAGGACACTGCGTTTCGCGAGAGACTGTTGCGACCGGTGGTGCTCTCCCGCTGTGCTGCCTGTTTTTTCTTTTCTTCATTGCTTCTCTTTTATTATTATGACCATCATTAGTGTTTGTATGCTAAGCGTTAGAGTTGTTGTCCCTGGGTGGTAAGTAGGTCTGCGGTGCAATTGCTATTGCTCTTCTTTACTGTGCTTTTCCTTTTTTTTTTGTCTGTCACCTTCGAAGTGTTCATTGTCACTTTAGACCCTTTTTTTTGCTTCTTCTCTACTCCCTCACGCGCTTATACACACTATTATTATTATTGCTATTGTTATTAATATATATATGTATTTCCTCCTTTCTTTTTTTTCCCTTCTTTTTCTTTGCACCTTGTTGAGCAGTTACGAGACGGCGTTGTTCTTTTCGCCCCCCTTTTCCCTCCTCTGTGCGCTTGTGCTATCCCAAGCTCCTTCTATCGGTGTTTTTCTCTCTCCATCTCAAACATTTTTATGTATTCCTCCCCCCCTCTCTCTCTCTCTCTATATATATATCTATAATCTTGTGGCTTCTTCTTCAGCTGTTTCTTTTGTTTTGTTTTCCCTCTCGTTCGTCGTAGCGGAGAAGTTGCTGGGGAGACGGGGGGAGGGGGAGGGAAGGGGAGTGCGTTATTGCGTAAGAAGGCGCATGTGTTGGTCTCGACCCTTTTTTCCCTTTCTTTTTCTTCTTTGAAGTGCTCGGTGTTTTCTCTTTCTGCCCTGTTTCTTCGCTGTCCGCGTTGTTTTTTTTGTGGGGGCGCGTCTTGCTGGGTTTTTTTTTGGATGGTAGACTTTGAGGATGCAAATGCCTTTTCGCTCTCCCTCCTCTTCTCTTCTCTTCTTTCGCTGTCTTGCCATTTTTTCTTCTGAATTTCTTGCTTCATTCACCTGTTGACCTCTTTCCATAACGTTACTGTTAAGCGACTGATAGACGATAGCCACTCTGGATATCGACAACCGCCACCGAAGCTACCAATCAAAGATCTAAAAAAGATAATAATATGTAATAATAGGAGGCAATGTGTATTGTGGCTCGGCAATCATGGAACGCGGTGTATCGACTTGTGTGCGGAGGAGCAGAAGCCCAACGTGTTCGCCCCACAAGTATGCGTGCAAGTCCACCGACTACAAATACGTGTTTGCGACGTTGCTGAGAGGGTCTGCAGGGACTTTGCTTAAGAGAAAAAAGGGAAAAAAAAACACATCAATCAGCGCTTTCTTTCTTGCTTTTGCCGGACGCAACCGTGACTCGAACAGGCGACAAACCGTGGCTTGCTGGAACAGCCGGGTGCACGACGCAGTCTCACCACTGGCCCACACGTTGTACTTGTGGTCTCACACAGCATCCTCTCTGCTGCTTTTCCGTTTTCCTCCATTCACTTCTTTTCGTTGTTCTCACTTCCACAAGGTCACCTAGCATCAGACTAGTTTCTTCCACCCCACCGATGTCGCACGAGGTGCTTTGCAAAGCTGAGAGCAGTTTGTTGAAGGGAGATTAGACGGCTGAGCTGTTTGCGTGAGAAAGTGTAAACGCTGACACTATTTTTATTTATTTATTATTCCTTCATTCTATACGCGGGGGCGACTTTGGCCTCCACCATTGTTCCTTCATTGCGGCCAACAACAAAGAAAGCCAAATTCAAGTTGTGGCGTCACTTCTCTCTATATAAAAAAACCGTTTCTCAATGTGGCAGCGTTACGCACCACCTCAGCGACTACGAGTGCGGTGCTTCCTTCTGCTCATCCTTTTTCTTCTCAGTCATAACGCCAAGGATGACATCGTCGTGCTCGCTCCTCGTTTTGGCGGTGTTTGGTGGGTGCCAGGCCAGAAAACGGCCTCCCCCTCCGCTACTCACGCCGTCGCCTCCCACGCAACGAACAGTAGTGGTGGGGGTTTTCCACGCGTCCTCTTTGCTGCTGCTGCCGTCCTCAGCACCGCTTCTCAACAAGCCAACACTCCAACAAGTCGCATTTACCCCCCGGAGAAAACGAAATTTAGCTATGACGCCGACTTGAAGCCGACGATGCTGCCATGGCGTGCGCTCCGCCTGACGTTGCGGCAGGCAGGCTGCTTCACAACGCGTGCCTTGCCGCGCTTAACGGACCTCCCTGATGCAGTGGCCAGCAGCGGAGGAGGACGTGCGGAGACTGCGCTGGTCAACCGCACCGACCCCGCTGTTTCTCCGCTCACCCTGCGGGCTGTGTGTCGCCGGCCGATTGTGCTCGTCAGCGGCCGCTCACGCGGCTGTGTCAGCTGCAACCACTTCGCCAACGAAGTGCTGAGCCGCTACGCCGCTGAGTGGGCCTTCATCCATGCCCACGTGACCGTCGTCGACGCCGGCGACCCGATGACGGAGCAGCTGGTGCGGTACCCCTACCCGCTGTGGTACGACGCGGAGGCCCTGGAGAAGGAGTTGGTCTTGACACCGCATTTTAACGCATCCGCAGCGGCTGCCAACTGCACCAAACGTGATGAGGCGCGCACACAGTTCGCGAACGTCGATGGCAGGCGAGATGGTGCGGTGGGAGAGGGCAGTGCGGTGTGCAGCCCACACGCCGAGCAACTAGCGGAAGCGGCGGCAGACCACGCGCTCTTCACCGCCAGCCTCCGTCAGAAGGCTGCGTTGCTCGTCAAGGCACCTGTAGCCCAAGCTGGCCATCAGTGGTCCCACCTGGTGCAGCACACCTTTGCGAACCCGAATGAGTACGTGCTGCGCATTATCTTCATGTACCCCCACAACGGCAGCGTTATGCGAGATGTGGTGAACGAGGGCATATTTGACGGCAGCTCGCCCGATTACCTTCACTTTTACACGAGTGCAACGCATTTCTTCAGCGCAGTGAAGAAGGCGGTGCGGGTGATGGACTGGTTGGAGCACTTTGGCGATTACTGATGCATCAGCGTGGCGTCCTTTTTAGAAAGGAACTCTTTCTTCTGTTTGTGTTATCATTGTACAGTATGCGGTGCTCAGCAAGAAATCGTCTGCTTCACTCTCCTCAGCACATCAGCAACAGGAACAGATAGGAAAAGGAAGAGCCAGCTGCTTCATGCGGTCAAACGTTGAATGGGAGATGATCATGACAGAACATGTTAACAGCGGATCTGAATTCGCCAAACGTGTGGCGACCATTGTTTTTTTTTCCCCTTTCCTTTTTCTCACGAGGCGCAGCACTTCCCTGTTTGTTGCTGGTAGACCTGAGGTAGGGGGAGGGACGCTCTCTGGACCCTCCCTCTTTTTCCATTAGGCCTTCTCCACCCCCCTCCTCCTTCCATATATTTGCTTCGCCCCATCTTCCTCACTTCTCGGCAGCATATTCGTCCAGCTGGATAGCACAGAATTACACTCTGTGCTTTTTTCTTTCTTTCTTTGGTTGAAGCGGCAGCCAGCTGTGCTGCTTCGCTCCATTCGCGTCGGAGAAAATAATTCTTTAGGGACCCAAAAGAGCGGCCGTACGCCTCTTTTCACCCTGTGCTTACACGTACATTCCGTAAAGCAGACAAAACCGTAATTAAAATACTTGTAGAACAAAAAACACAGCAATCCCTCTAAAAAGAAAAAGATGTCTGTGGAGTCTACGCTGCGTTACCTCATCTCCAACTGCCTCTCCTACGGAGTGGTGGTGGGGGCCTCCATCTTGAAGGTGCCGCAGATCCTCAAGGTGCTGCAGAACAACAAAGCCGACGGCGTCTCCCTCCTCTCCATCATCGTAGAGCTTCTCTCCTACGTCGTCTCCACCAGCTGGGGCATGGTGCAGGGTCTGCCCTTCCGCGACTTCGGCGAGAACTTCCTTATTACGCTGCAGCTCATTGTGCTGCTGGTGCTGGTGGCGAAGCTGCAGAAGAAGACGAAGGAGGCCTGCCTGGCGCTCGCCGTGGAGCTGCTTGCCTTCTACGCCTTTGCCACCGGCCACGTGCCGCGCAGCGTGCACGAAACGCTGCTGAGTGGTCAGGTGCTGCTGAACATGTCGAGCCGGCTGCCGCAGATCTACGCCAACTACCGCACCCGCTGCCAGGGTCAGCTGTCTTTCTTGACTTTCTTTCTAGCCTTTGGTGGTGGCGTGGCGCGCCTGATGACGACCGCGCTGAACGTGTCGTGGGAGAAGGGGAAAGGCGTCATGCTGGTGCAGTTTGGCGTGGCGGCGTCGCTGAACGCGATTATTCTTGCTCAAATGCTGTATTACAAGCTCGTCGATGGAAAGACACGTAAGCCGGCGGCTGTGGCCAAGGACGTGAAGCGCCGTTAGCGGAAGTTTTAAAACGCACGATCTTCTTTTAAAATCGGGTTTAACGCGCATACATATATGTATGGACGCAAAACGGCGAAAAACGCGAGGTGTGATTCATGAGGCGAGTTGTTTGCTGCGCAGTTGATCAGTCGCATACGAATAGGTATGCAACCACACACCCACAATATATCGTTTTGTGTTTGATAACCAGCGGAGGTTGACCTGTGGCACGTGCGGGCGACGCGACCGCAGGCGCTGGTTACCTGTTTCTTCCATCGCGAAGTTTCCCATTTTTCCTTCATTTCAAATTTTGGTTTCTCGTTCTGGTTACTTGCATTGGTGCTTTGGTCGATGCGATGCCGCAACCACCCCCCCTCACCACGTTATCGCAAGGGTTAACGCGCAAACAAACGAAAGAAACGAGGTTATTGTGTAAGCTGCCCAACGTCAGCACAGCGAGTAAACATAAACGAAGAAACCTCGGCTGTTTTCCAAATCTGATAACAACTCACAAGCGAACAACCCTGTACGCTGAGGAAGCCGGTGAAGCCTCGACTCGCTCGTCGTTACATGACATGAGCCGCAAAATCGGGAAACCGTATTTCGTTGGTTTCTTCTTACCTCCCCACTTTTCCGCGATCTCCACGATGGCAGGGGCTTTTTATGAATCCAAACGGTGAACACCAACAACCTGCATACACACAGAGCTGCGAAGTCGAAAGGAGTGCTGTTGTGTGTGTGTGTCAAGCAGGAGAAGTTCCTGCAGTCTGTGCGCTCTTATCATGAACGACAAAGAGGAGAGAAAAGCTTCTTACTCAGCGTGTGCGTTGATGAAGTGGGAAAAGGAAACGAATTCCCGCGTCTATGCTTCTGCTTCTTTGTTGATCAGACGTAGCGTACACTGCTAGAGAAGACGAATTGCCTGTGGTAGCATCTTCGCCCTGAAGCAACTGCGCATGCGAAACTGTATTTACCACGTGTTTACATTCGATAGCTACTTCTGAAGTTTTTGAATCGCTGGCCACCAACGAGCCCTCTTTCTATCGATCTATCGTTTTATTACTACTTCTGGCGGTGTTAAGCTCGTCGATGCCCTCTCCATGGAAGCGTGTTGACCTGCTGAACCTCTCGTCCACTTCCGCTGCTCTGGCGCGGCGACGGGCGGCTGCCGCTGCAGCAGCTACGACCCCAACCAGCACCCTAAAAGGCATATTTAGCTCTTCAGGGCAGGACGACAATGAGATCACCAGACGTAACGTGGCGGAAGTGAAGGATTATGCCAAGCCGGTCACGTCTGCCGCTTCAGTTTCCAGGAGCAGGAGATGCAGTGACGCACCGCACTGTACGCACCGATTAAGCAGCACCCCCAGCCTCACGGTGCATCCAGCTTCTGCGGCGACCCGCGTCTCCATCTCTCGGCTGCTCGGCGGAGCGTCGCTGACCTGGCAAGAATCGCTGGCGTGTTTCGTGGAGTTGGTAGAAGGCAGCAGCAAGAGGGGTCCACAGGACAAGGAACAACCCCTTCAAGTACAGGAGGATTGTGCTGTGCCGCTAGAGGCAATCCTTTCCCTCTACGCGACGCTGAGGCGAAACGCAGCGGAGCAACAGCACACGATGAAGTACGGCGAGGAGCTGAACACCACATTATCGAGCGCCGTTGAAGAAGAAGATCATCTTCGTGGTAATGCGTTCCCGCAACTACCAGCAACAGATGTGTCGAGTCGTAGACTCCGCTGCTCCTCTTCCCCTTCCTCTGCGAATGACTTCTCCAGCGTGTCGTTGTTTGCCGACACACTACCGCTGCGTTTCCTGGCCTACGCCGCGCAGCACAACACTGCCCTCGCACCCCTTCACCGCGTTCTGTCCGCTGCATTTCGCAGCAACGTAGGCGGCGCATCGCCTCCACCTTCTCCAACTTTCCGACCCGGATGCGAACGTCAGGAAGGTGGCCTCGGAGGTGTGTCACTATCACGCGAGGTTGTAAACGACTTGACGCAGCTTCTGAGCGTTGCCACGGTGCTGCACGTGGGGCTGGGCGAAATCCTGCAAGCAGCACCGGCCGCATCCCCCACGAAAAGAACAGCAGAAGAATCATCATCGCTTTCCGCGTCAGCGACATCGTCATCGTGGCAGCTTCCGCTGCGGTGGGCGGCTCTGCGGACGATTCACAATCTCGAGCGCTACGGCGGCGCTCGTGAGTACGTCGCTGCACTGTCGGAGAGCGTCGAGCGCAATTTCGAGGCTTCCACGGGCAGCGGAGTGGCGGCACAAGCAGCCACCGGCAGCAACGCTCCCCCTTCACCTCTGCCGCGCAGCCAACGTGAAACGCACGGCCTGGACTCCGCAAGAGCGGGGCCGCACCGGACACGAAGTCAACCGACCGCCTCCCTTTCTCCATCATCGCCGCACCACCTCTCTGTCCTCGACGCTGCGGTGCAGAAGCAGGAGTCGGAGGTGCAGCATGCGAGGGCGGTAGTGGAGGCCGCCGCCCGCCAGCAGCCGAATTTCACTCTGCTGCTGCAGCCATTGCAGGAGGCGTGGGAGGCGCACAACACGCGTCGGCTACCCGCGACAACATCCACGCACAGGACCCCTCCTGCCGGCGGCACCGGTGCGAACGGTGACCTTTTTCCGAGCCAAACCGAGACTGTCACCAGCACACCCGGAGACGTCTGCGAGACGATGGACGGCACCGTCCCTTCTTTCCCTTCTTCCTCTTCGTCGGTGCAAGCTTCTGCCGCTGCGGCGGATGTGGCGCTGGCGATGGTGCGCTCCCTTGCGCAAACAGACCTCTCCGCTGCACACGTTGACTGCAGCGGCGTACAGCAAGGCGACGCTGCGTGGAGGAGTGGCAGCACCATGTCCACAGCAGAGCTTACCTGTTTGACGCTGGACGTCGTGCACTTTACGTGGACGGCCATGAACGCCGCTCACGAGTGGGACCACGTGGAAAACAGTTCTCACACTTCCGGCTCTCCGTCGACAGAAGAACAGTTGGGAGTGGAGCGCAGCGCTGCGGCGAGGACAGCGGAAGGCGAGGCGCTGCTTCAGCTGGTGCGCACTGCTACGCGTTTTGCTTCGTACGCGGATCTGTGCACCTGGCTGGAGCGTCTTCTTCCTCCGACGCCACCGGCGGCAGCCCCTGCGGTGTCCCTCGGCGTACGGGATTACCTCGTTACCGCCAACGGTAACGTGTCGCTGCCTCAGCGGGCGGCACTCCTTTGTCTTCTCACGCGCGTCGTGCGACGGGCGCCGTCGTGGTCGGCGGTGTGCACCGTGCTGCCGGCAATGTGGCGCCGCATTCCAACAGCTGCGCCGGCACCGGCGTCGCTTCGTGTCCCGAACGCGTCGCTGCGGCTGCGACACACAGACGAGGAGGCGGCGGCATGTGGATCGGGGTACGCCTCCTGCCCATCTCTGTTGAGTGCGTTCTTTGAGTCTCCGCACGCGCCGACTCGTCGGCCGCACACACGCGATGAACTGGCGATGTGGTGTAAGGCTATTTGCGGCGCGAGTGGTATCACGGGCACCGATAAGACAGCATATAAGGAATCAGTCATCCGGCCAGCGTCAGCGAAAGTAACGCATGACGCTTCGCCAGGAACAAATGAAGGGCAGCTGAGTGCAGCAGAGTGGTCGCGGCTGCTGTACGGGTCTGCGCCACCCACAATTGCCGACGTTTCTGTGTGTCCGTTGGCACTGTGGCACTCCTCCGTCACCGCCGCTGCCACCGCATTTGTCGGACAGTGGCTGCATCCGGCCGCTGCGCATGACACGGCGCTCGATTGCCTCGCGACGTGCCATGTCGCGTGTGCCAAATCCTGGGCGACTCCTCCTTCGTTTTGTACCCCGGCTTCGTCTGACACCACAGGTGAGAACTCCCCTGACAACCGCAGCGGTGCCGCCTGGAGGGCAGAGGCCGTTGCCCAGTTAGCACACCAACACCGCGCCTTCTCGTTGACGTTTCTCACACGCGAAGAGACGTTTGACTGGTTCAATTTGGTGTTGTGTCGCACGGAGCGCGGCGTTGCCCGCCAGCTGGTGCTCGCAGCGGCGATGGAGGCGCGGTGGTGCAGTGCCGGGGCCGCCGCGCCGTTGCCTCCGCCTACCTACCGCGCAACCGCACCCTCCACCTCGCCGGCCACCACCGCGTCTGCTGAGATGATTCAGAAAGACGTCGAGGACGCACATGATGTCGTACGGCTCTCGTCATCGTCGTTTTCTTGTACCGCGGACGCAGATGCAGCAGTGGCGGATCTAACGCGAGTTTTTCTGCGATGGGTCACCGCACGCGAGACCGCTTCCACCGCCACTGATGCGGACCGCAGCGACGCCGCTGCCGTTTCCCTGTTGACCGGCACATCGTTCAGGCGTGAAGGAAATGGCCGCTTGGGGGACGTGGGACTTCTTTTCGCGGACGTCGCCGCAGCGCTCAGTCCCTCCTTCATTTCTACGGAGTTCAACTCGTCGGTGCTGGCCTTGTCGCCGTCGAAGCCGTCGACGGCGGTCGCGTTGCTTTTGGAAGTCGTGCGGAGCGCCGTGACGGAGACGGGGTTGCTGTGGGAGCGACAAATGGGCCAGCCTTCCTCCCACGTGAAGGATGACACACACGCGGTCCCACTGCCGCTGCAGTTTTTCAACGCGGCGGTGGAGTCGGTGGGGCAGCGGCCGTCTGCATCCGTCGATCGCGGTGGGTCTGAGGAGGAGGCGTCATTGCACGATCGGGAGCTTCAACTTGCACGACTGCGTAGCTGGCTGCAGTTCCTGTGCACCTGTCCCCCGCTGCTCTTGGCGGATAAGGTGTACGTGGTGGTGTGGCTGTACACACTCATGCGACAGGTGGAGGAGATGCATCAGCGGCTTCACGAGAGTGCCGGTGGGGCACCAACTCCGCTGGTACCTGAAACGCAGTCGAGGCTTGGCGAAGGCATGCACACGCACTCCAGCAGCAGCAACTCCCTGACACACAGGGCAGGTCTAGTGGAGAGATCGAGTCAACAGGGAGGTGGACAGGCGTGGTCGCAGCAGGAGGAAGCGGAGACCGTACGCCTTGCTGCTGCGTCGCTGAGCAGGCAGCTCTGGTCAACCCTGCCCCCGTCCTCTTTAGTTCCACCGATGCTGCTGAACTGGCTGCTCACGCGCGGCGGCTTGCCCACCTGGGGTGATGCCGTGAGGTTTCTGCGTGCGTCGGCAGCAACGGCCACCGTGCGACCGCCGCCCGAAACAAAGAAGGTTTTCGATGGGGCAGGAGAAGGCGATCATGACGACCAAGCTAAAGTTGATGACCAGCGCCGGTATTTGTTTTTGGTACTGCCGCTGGATCGGGTAGTGTCGATGGCGCACGCGATGCGGGTACTGCGGACTCTTCAGGCCGTCGAGGAGCGCTGCCACGACGCCGCACGCAAACGCACGCGAGATGCGCTGCCGCTGTCAACCCGCGAAAGCAGCCCGTCGAGTGGGAACGGCGGCGATAACACCGTGGTAGGGGAAGCGAGCGTACACCGCTCCCAGACGCGGCAAACGGAAAAAGGATCCTCGCGCCAAGCCGCCTCCTCCGCGGCCACGATAGACTTACGCGACGACGTCGCTGTCACCGTGTCCTCCACGGGAGCGAACGGCACGGCGATTGATCTGCTGGTACGGCACTACTACTACCCCGAGATTGAACGGGTGCTGCTGCGTGAGTGGTACAGTCGCGCCTTGGCGGCGGTGCTGCGCTTCCTGGTGGCGCATCCCGAGCACACGTTTCTTACCTCCGTTGCTGACGCGCCAGACCACGCCGCGCTCGCCGTGCGTGCGTGGCTCGAAAGCGGGAACGCACACGACGAGCAGGGCAGTACGACAGATCGTGAAGGAGTGCGGGCTTCGTTTGCCGAGCGGCTCCACGCACCCGATCTTTCGAGTGTGGGTGCGAGTGTGACGTCGCTTCACGAATGGCAGGAGTGGATTGGCCTCTCCCATCAAAAGAAAACAATCGGAATAAATGCGGTGGCGGCCCTTACAGAGCCAGGAACGGTGCCGTTGCCGCCCGCCTCCCAGTCGAGGGCCGCAGATGAGCACGAAGCCGCTCCCCGTCGAAGCGCGACAGAGTCGTACACTGGCGCTGCGTTGACGATTGAAAAACAACGCGACAGCGAAGAGCTACATCAACCGAATTCCACCGTCGCGCCAACGCACACCTTACGCATCCCGCTGCACTTTGTCGGCACCTTCATCCTCCAAGAGTGTCGCATCGGTGCTCCGGTGAGCACCTCCTTTGCAGAAGCGTCAGCGAGACAAGCTGCCATGACAGGTCGAGCTAAGCTCTCTTCTCAGGATTCGAACGCCAATGCGGTGCAAAGGACCTCGTCACCGAGAAGCCAGGAAGCCCCACAACGGGCCACGACGAAGCCATCGTACGGAAAGCGCGGCCGTCTGCGAACACTGCCCTCGCTGGATTCGCTGCTGCAGGACACCGAGTGCTGCCCCGCCGTGGGCCATGACCGTCTGAACACGTTAGAGGACGCTGCGGCAAGGGCAGCAGTTTCACCTGACGCACGCCGCACCCGTCCAGTCCATCCCGAGCTGCTCGAGTTATTTACGCGAGTGCTGCAAATTAAGAAGGCAGAGGCAAGGGGCGTCGACAGCACAGCTGCCGCACGCGAAGAAACAGTAGAGGATGTCGTGGGCCAGGTCCTCGCTCACCGTGCGATCGCATCTCGGTAGCGCTCGCTCATGGGTGGGCTGCTTACACGCTTTACCGATTTACCCCCCCCCCTCCCCCCCACCACACACATGATGTGTGCCTTTAAGAAATCGGAGCCGCCGCTTGGACCTCGTTGCATCATCTACGCAAAAGTCAAATGAGTAAGTGAAACACGACACAACAAGGACAGGTAAAACGCTGTGCAACGTCGCGTTCCTTTGCTTCTTATGTGCATCACGGAGGATGCTAACCGTCCTCCTCCTCCCATTGCTCTCCGCATCTCACCGCAACCAAAAGGCGAACCCACATGTACGGTTTCGCTTCGTTGTGGTTCGTTTCCGCCGCATCTTCTCTCCATCGCCGATCCTCACTGCACACGGTTTCTTCAAGCTGCAGAGCTTCAGTCATAGCGAACCAAGATGCGTGTCTTCAACTCATTTTAGCTTTCTCCTCTATCGACTCTTCTGGAAATTTCTGTGCCTTCTGCCGTACGCCGGCCATGTTGATGAACACCACCGCCTTCTCCATTGCACATACCTACCACTCGATTAGCTCCTTTTCAATGTGTCCACATTCGATGACACAGCGCATCCAAAGAACATAAGCCACAATTCAAAACGAAGCCGCCTAAAGCAGAAACAGCGCGCTTCTATCGGTGTCGGTGGCGTACACTTTTGGTTATCTTGCATTGACTCCTATACACCATCTGGCTTTCTTTTAACGCCGTGGACTTCTCTACGCGACGGCTGCATCAGAACTTTCCTTAGCCTGGTTTTGTTTGCTTACATACAAACTGTTTACGAAATTGGCGTTGCACCGCCTCTTAAGAATTATTTCTTTATATAATTTGAGGAGATAAACCAACTTAAAAACCTGAATAACAATGGTTCGCCCATCTACTACGAAGCAGGAGGCAAGTCGAGTGCAGGTCTCCGTGCGGGTGCGTCCCCTCGAACCCCGAGAAAAGAAAGCCGCCGACGGATCGCTGATCACGGTGGTGGCCAACCAAGCAACAGCCGTGGTCACGGTGACGCCGGTGGCCAGCAGCAGCGGCACCTGCACCGCCGATGTGGGAGCTGATGGAGCGTTGGGGAGCCGGAGGGCGGCACAGGACTTCCAGTTCGATCACGTGTTCTGGTCTGTGGACAGCCCGATGCGTCCGGCAGCCGCCCGGCGACGCAGGCGGACGTGTTCCAGAAGATCGGGTTCCCGCTGGTGGAGCACGCGTTCGGCGGGTTCAACTCGTGCCTGTTCGCGTACGGGCAGACAGGCAGCGGGAAGACGTACACGATGATGGGCGCGGACGTGAGCGCGCTGGGCGGCGAGGGCAGCGGCGTGACGCCGCGGATCTGCCTGGAGATCTTCGCGCGCAAGGCGAGCGTGGAGGCGGAGGGGCACTCGCGGTGGTCCGTGGAGCTTGGGTACGTGGAGGTGTACAACGAGCGGGTGTCGGACCTGCTTGCGAAGCGGAGGAAGGGCGCGAAGGCCGCGGACGAGGAGTGCGTGGAGGTGCGCGAGCACCCGAGCCGCGGCGTGTTCCTGGAGGGCCAGCGGCTTGTGGAGGTGGCGAGCCTCGACGACGTGGTGCGGCTGATGGAGGTGGGCAACGGCGTGCGGCACACGGCGGCGACGAAGATGAACGACCGGAGCAGCCGGAGCCACGCGATCGTGATGCTTGTGCTGCACGAGGAGCGGACGATGACGACGAAGGCGGGCGAGACGATCAAGACTGCTGGCAAGAGCAGCCGGATGAACCTTGTGGACCTTGCGGGGTCGGAGCGCGTTGCGCAGTCGCAGGTGGAGGGGCAGCAGTTCAAGGAGGCCACGCACATCAACCTGTCGCTGACGACGCTGGGGCGTGTGATCGACGCGCTTGCGGACATGGCGGAGAAGAAGGGCAAGTCGCAGTGGACGCTGCCGCCCTACCGCGACTCGAAGCTGACGTTCATCCTGAAGGACTCGCTTGGCGGGAACTCGAAGACGTTCATGCTTGCGACGGTGAGCCCGAGCGCGCTGAACTACGACGAGACGCTGAGCACGCTGCGTTACGCCTCCCGCGCGCGCGAGATCGTGACGGTTGCGCAGGTGAACGAGGACCCGCGCGCGCGGCGCATCCGCGAGCTGGAGGAGCAGATGGCGAGCATGCGCGAGAACCTGAGCGCTGCGGACCCTGCGTACGTGTCGGAGCTGGAGGAGAAGCTTGCGCTGCTGGAGGCGGAGGCGCAGAAGCGCGCGGCGGACCTGCAGGCGCTGGAGAAGGAGCGTGAGCACAACCAGCTGCAGGAGCGGCTGCTGCGGGCGACGGAGGCGGAGAGGAGCGAGCTGGAGTCGCGTGCTGCTGCGCTGCAGCAGGAGATGAGTGCGACGCGGCGGCAGGCGGACGAGATGCAGGCGCAGAACCTGCGTCTGAAGGAGGAGCAGGCGCGCAAGGAGCGTGAGCTGATGGAGGAGATGGCGGCGAAGGCGGCGGCGTTCTCTGTGGTGCGGCGGCGCAAGGACGCGGAGATCGCGAGCGGGCGTGAGAAGCTGGAGGCGACGGTGGCGCAGCTGGTGAAGGGGCAGCGCGAGCGCGAGGCTGCGCTGGACGCGTTGCAGACGCATCAGCGGCGGCTGCAGAGTGCGCTGGCGGGCTCTGAGCGGACGGCTGCGGAGCGGGACGAGCTGCAGCGGCAGCTGGCGGAGTTGCAGGCGGAGCGCACGCGTCTGACGCAGGCGGTGGCGGCGCAGGAGAAGATGAATCGCGATCTGCAGCGCGTCCAGGAGGAGTGCGAGGAGACGGAGCGGCAGCGTGACGCCGCGCTGTGTGCGCTTGCGGAGATGGAGGCCCGCTACCACGAGAGCGTCTTCCACCTTACGACGCTGCTGGATCTGGCGACGGAGTGGGAGGACGAGCTGCACGAGCGCGCCGTGGCGGAGCGCGACGCCGCCGCTGCTGCGGAGGTGGACGAGGCGACGGCTGCCGCTGAGAGGTCGCAGACGGCGATGAACCGGCTTCGCGAGAGCCTCGAGGCGC